TGGCGCTGGCTCTCCTCACCCTGCCACCACATGGGGAACAAGATGTCACCACTTCACAGGGGCTGTGACCATCACCAGGGCACACCAGCACCACTGGAACCTGCCAGCACACCCCACCAGCCCCCACACTGTGGGGAGCAGATGTGTGACCCCGTTAATTAAAAGTAGATTAAAAGCTCTTGATTTTGGGTGGTGGTAGAGTTTCTTTCTCTATCAGCAACAAACTGGGGCTGTGGGCACAGCTTGGTGTGGGGAGCTGAGACTGTGTCGCCCAGGTCCACCCTGCAACAGCATCGTTGGTGCTGCATCTCACATGAGCCAGGCACCAGTCACTGCCAGGCAGGGTGGGAATAAGCCACAGTGGAAAAAAGGGGCCATTGTCAAGGCATTGCAGTGCTGGGCATCTCTGGGCAGCGCAACCATGTGCCAAACACAGTCCCACACCATGTGGGTGCTGTGCTCCTGTCCACAGCCCGAGCATCATCTCCATTCCCACTTCTGGGGACTCACTGCCCAGTGGCACCCACAGGAATGCAGGGCCCTGGCACGAAGGGAGGGAGAGGTGTGTTACGAGGGAGGCAATGACATCAGCACTGGCATTTCTGTCCAGGAGATGCCTCGTGTGCTGGGCAGGAGGAATGCTCCGTGCCAGGCGCTCAGGGCCACCACCGTGTCTGTTAAAGCACGTGTTCTTGCTGGCAACACTGTCTCATGGAATTACCCAGTTGGTTTCTACATCCCAGTTCTCAAACCTATCCCAAACATTTTGAAGCATACTAGTACCATGGTCCCTTCCCAAAGCCCCTTCTTCCCCACCACATGTGTGAGTGGCTCCCTGTGCCCACACCAGCAAGAACACAGTGGGGCAGCCTCCCATGGCAGGGAGGGGTGGGCACAGAGATGGCACAGATGTGTCCCCCACTCTGCAATGAGGGCAGTGCAGTGGTGAGCCCAGGACACGGCCAGGGGAGCCCCAGACTGCATTTTGCAGCGTTCAGGCCCTGAAACAGCAGCTGTGCCGATAGAGATGTCCCCTGAGCACATCCCAGCTCACCCAGCTCCCTGCAGTACCC